TGTGTGTGTGTGTGTGTGTGTGTGTGTGTGTGTGTGTGTGTGTGTGTGTGTGTGTGTGTGTGTGTGTGTGTGTGTGTGTGTTGTGTGTGTGTGTGTGTGTGTGTGTGTGTGTGTGTGTGTGTGTGTGTGTGTGTGTGTGTGTGTTGTGTGTGTGTGTGTGTGTGTGTGTGTGTGTGTGTGTGTGTGTGTGTGTGTGTGTGTGTGTGTGTGTGTGTGTGTGTTGTGTGTGTGTGTGTGTGTGTGTGTGTGTGTGTGTGTGTGTGTTGTGTGTGTGTGTGTGTGTGTGTGTGTGTGTGTGTGTGTGTGTGTGTGTGTGTGTGTGTGTGTGTGTGTGTGTGTGTGTGTGTTGTGTGTGTGTGTGTGTGTGTGTGTGTGTGTGTGTGTGTGTGTGTGTTGTGTGTGTGTGTGTGTGTGTGTGTGTGTGTGTGTGTGTGTGTGTGTGTGTGTGTGTGTGTGTGTGTGTGTGTGTGTGTGTGTGTTGTGTGTTGTGTGTGTGTGTGTGTGTGTGTGTGTGTGTGTGTGTGTGTGTGTGTGTGTGTGTGTGTGTGTGTGTGTGTGTGTGTGTGTGTGTGTGTGTGTGTGTGTGTGTGTGTGTGTGTGTGTGTGTGTGTGTGTGTGTGTGTTACTGTGTGTTGTGTGTGTGTGTGTGTGTGTGTGTGTGTGTGTGTGTGTGTGTGTGTGTGTGTGTGTGTTGTGTGTGTGTGTGTGTGTGTGTGTGTGTGTGTTGTGTGTGTGTGTGTGTGTGTGTGTGTGTGTGTGTGTGTGTGTGTGTGTGTGTGTGTGTGTGTGTGTGTGTGTGTGTGTGTGTGTGTGTGTGTGTGTGTGTGTGTGTGTGTGTGTGTGTGTGTGTGTGTGTGTGTGTGTGTGTGTGTGTGTGTGTGTGTGTGTGTGTGTGTGTGTTGTGTGTGTGTGTGTGTGTGTGTGTGTGTGTGTGTGTGTGTGTGTGTGTGTGTGTGTGTTTGTGTGTGTGTGTGTGTGTGTGTGTGTGTGTGTGTGTGTGTGTGTGTGTGTGTGTGTGTGTGTGTGTGTGTGTGTGTGTGTGCTGTGTGTGTGTGTCTGTGTGTGTGTGTGTGTGTGTGTGTGTGTGTGTGTGTGTGTGTGTGTGTGTGTGTGTGTGTGTGTGTGTGTGTGTGTGTGTGTGTGTGTGTGTGTGTGTGTGTGTGTGTGTGTGTGTGTGTGTGTGTGTGTGTGTGTGTGTGTGTGTAGGTGTGTGTGTGTGTTTGTGTATAGGACAGTAGTGCAGTTGTAGGTGATTTTATATTTGTTTTTGTTTTTTTTATATTTCACGTCGGGAGAAGAATTTCCAAGACACAAATGTGTTTTTCCCTGTGCACTGCTGCTCTGTTCTAAAGTTCTAAGTTCAAATATTTGTGCAGAGAAACACAAATCTATTACACAAATCTTTTTGAATTGATGAACTCTTTCTTTTACAAAATATTATAATATTATGAACAACCTGAAACTTTAAGAAAAATACAATTTCAACACAAAGTTTGAACATGAACTTGTCTGTAAACAGGAATAAGTCCATTTTTGTTGTAAAATCCTGCACTCGGCTCCACTTTTCTCATGTTGGACATTTTTCTGATGAGGGTCACGGTCAACAGTCAAAACGATCGTCCTTTAAGAGCGTTTGGAAAGAGACAAGTCTTCATTTGTGCTGCTCTGGTGGGAGGGGCCACGTACAGAGACGCTGGAGACGCTGCTGTGATAAACACTACAGAAAATTTACAATATTTAAATAGAAAATATAATTAAAATATTTTAGTAGAAAATCAGCCCAGGGCCAGATTAAAGGTCTTGGAGGGCTGGATCTGGCCCCCAGGCCGTATGTTTGACACCTGTGACGTAATTGGTATTGATCCTGGTTATTTATCCAGTCTAACGGCAGAAGGACCCAAGACCATTTGACCAGAAATTGGTCATAAACATCGACGGACGACAAATCACCCTTTTCAACCCCGACAGAGTCTGGACCAAACCAAACTTCTGGTCAGAATCTCCAACTACCTGGACAAATATTCACTTGGGCGACATCCACAATGACTTGGTGGAAACTCCTGGGCCGTTCACAGCAGAAAAGATGAAAACCTCCAAGAGTCTGGATGTGTTGTTGAACTTGTTGAGTCCACGGTTTGTTAGGATCTTCTACGTTTGCTCTGCGGATGTTTGAAAGTCGTTTAATTCACCGTTAGTGGTTCTTTTCACTCAGAATACGAAAAAGACATTTTCCTTCTTCCGTGCTTCTATTTGTGCGTCCGATAATGCAGCAGGAGTTTAACATTATCAGGATAAATACGTGAGGTTACACACTGTGTTTGACGCTACCGTGTTTCTTGCCTCCGACCAAAATATTTCCCAGCAGCAACGCCGGCTTTTAATAACAATGACGTCAGCTCAAACTCGACTATATGACATGAGTTTTCTGATCCGGACACTTTGGGATCAGAGTCGGTTGAATCGGACCAAAACGACTCTGACTCTCCTGGTCTAGATGTTCTGTTCCACCTTGTGACACGAAGAGTTACTCAACACCAAACACAAGTCCAGGAGTGTTTTTGGAGGAGGGGACAGTATCAGATCAGGACTTAAAGCTCACGTGGTTGAGTTTTGTTTAAAGATGAGTAAACGAAGCTGGCGGTGTGTTTGTGCTGTGACCTGATTGTTCTGCGTCTGGGGCAGATTCACAGGTGCCTCGGAACAGCTGAGAGTATTTTTAGAGCTTCTCTTCAACGTTTTTATTTCCCTCATCCCAACGGCGCTGGACCCAGGCCGCGAAAACGATCCAAAATCTCATCCTAATCCAAACTCAAACTAATATCGAAACTAGATCCTGATTTATCGCGGGTATCGAAACTAAAAAAAACCCAAAAGACCCACTGACAGAACAGAGCAGAACCTTCAAAACCTTCAGAACCTTTACAACGTTTCTTTAATGTTTAGAACAATCTGGAAAAAGGATAAAAGCACAGAGACTAAAATACACCCACGGACCTGGTTTAGTCTAAACCAGGACTAAACCAGGAGTAAACCAAGTCTAAACCAGGTCTAAACCAGGTCTAAACCAGGTCTAAACCAGGTCTAAACCAGGTCTAAACCAGGTCTAAACCAGGTCTAAACCAGGTCTAAACCAGGTCTAAACCAGGACTGAACCAGGTCTAAACCAGGACTAAACCAGGACTAAACCAGGAGTAAACCAAGTCTAAACCAGGTCTAAACCAGGTCTAAACCAGGACTAAACCAGGACTAAACCAGGAGTAAACCAGGTCTAAACCAGGTCTAAACCAGGACTAAACCAGGTCTAAACCAGGTCTAAACCAGGTCTAAACCAGGACTAAACCAGGTCTAAACCAGGACTAAACCAGGTCTAAACCAGGACTGAACCAGGTCTAAAACCAGGACTAAACCAGGACTAAACCAGGAGTAAACCAAGTCTAAACCAGGTCTAAACCAGGTCTAAACCAGGACTAAACCAGGACTAAACCAGGAGTAAACCAGGACTAAACCAGGTCTAAACCAAGACTAAACCAAGACTAAACAGGACTAAACCAGGTCTAAACCAAGACTAAACCAGGTCTAAACCAGGACTAAACCAGGTCTAAACCAAGACTAAACCAGGTCTAAACCAGGACTAAACCAGGTCTAAACCAAGACTAAACCAGGTCTAAACCAGGACTAAACCAGGTCTAAACCAAGACTAAACCAAGACTAAACCAGGTCTAAACCAAGACTAAACCAAGACTAAACCAGGTCTAAACCAGGACTGAACCAGGTCTAAACCAAGACTAAACCAAGTCTGGACCAGGACTAAACCAGGACTGAACCAGGTCTAAACCAGGACTAAACTAAATCTGAACCAGGACTAAACCAGGTCTAAACTAAGTCTGAACACGAAGAAATGTGTTTTTTACTTGATTTCTTGGGATTCTGATTCATAATTCACCAAAATGTTGTCAAGGTGTTTTAAAAGCAAAAAAAAGTTTCCTATCTAGAATTATATTTGCCACTGTAAAATATCGCAATAAATGTCGTACCGAGAGATTTCGATATCGCTACATCCCTAAATATGAAGTCTAATAGCTTCTAAATAGAGACTATTTACGAATACAGTGTTTTATCTGAAAATGAAAATGTGTTTCTTTTTTTTTTTGACATTTTAAATTAATAATGACACTGTTTTTGTGATAAAAAGCTCTTACAATTCTCAAAACATCACTACACTTCATTTTTTATGTAATTTTTATATTATTATTATTATTATTTAAGTATTTATTAATTTATTATTATTATTATTATTATTATTTATTTTATTTTTTATATGTTTTGGTGTCCTGATTAAAATATACACATTATATTAAAATTATTATTATTATTATTATTATTGTTGTTGTTTATTTCTTTACTTTATTTTTTTATATTTTTTGTCGTCCTGATTAAAATACACACATTATATTCAAATTTTTATTATTATTATTATTATTATTATTATTGTTGTTGTTGTTTATTTCTTTATTTTATTTTTATTTTTTTTTCGTCCTGATTAAAATATACACATTATATTCAAATTATTATTATTATTATTAATAACAATAATAATAATTTTATAATTAATTGTTTTTATTTATTTTTTTCGTCCTGATTAAAATATACACATTATATTCAAATTAATAAGGAGACCCGAGAAAAAAATATATATTTCTAATGATAAATCAGCAAACAAACAAACAAAAATCGATATTTATTAGGCCTATTATAGAATTATTAGCACGTATTAATCTTGTTTTGAGTGACTATATTTATCGTAGTAATTAGCTAACGGTAAAACCAAAATAAATGTAAGAGAAAAAGACATTTAACTGTATTTAACGGTATCATTTCTGCTCCGTTAATGGTTTATTATGCTAAAATACATTCGTAAATTTAAGGGGGAGAAAAAAAATGCGGGATTGTGATTTATTTGGAGATTTGCGGAGGCACCGTGAGCCCGTCCCCCCGGAGTGTCACGTCCACGTACCGGTCCCGAGGAGCTCCGTGCCCCGCCGCCGCGCTCCGCCGCTCCGCCCGGGTCCGTCCGCTCCTCCCGCTCCTCCCGCGGGGGTCCGGAGCGTGTCACAGCCGCGGGGAGGGAGGCGCGGGCCGGTGTCGGTGGGTGGTTGAGAGTCCGCAGAGCCGCTGGAGGTGGGTGTATCCTCCCCGGGGAGAGTCGCTCCTCCTCCGCCCGCGGTCAGTGCTCCCGAGGCGGATGCGCGCGGCCCGACACACCGCTGCTCTCCGCCGCCGCCGCCATCTTGGAG